ATGGGTCTATAACGAGGGCCAAAAAATTTAAATAGAAACATACCCAAAAGTGACAGAGATAAAGGAGTTAACACACATGGAATTCAGCATTATAAACCGTGGAAATAGTCCAATGAAGCTATATACACAGTAGGAAAGAACAGAAAAGGTATTTAAACAAAAATGAGAGAAACATATGGAACATCCAGAGATTACAACACTCGGAATAACAAAATTCATTGGGTGGGCTTAACAGAAGACTAGATACTAAAAAAGATAAATGTTAGTGAATTTAATGACAGAGTAACAGATACTATCGAAATTGAGTTACAGAAGGGAAAAAAAGGCTGAGAAAAAGAGTAAGAGAGCATCAGTGGCATGTGGGAATCTGAGTACTTAATATTCCCACGTCACTGAAGTTCTTACTCTTTTTTGATATGAGTAGTTAGACTAACTTACTTGATATTAGTAGTTAGACTAATACTGTTGGTCATGTCTCAGAGGGGTTTGGGCAGAAAGATAAGAAAAATAAAGGCTGAAAATCTTGAAACTAGATAAAAACCATGAAACTCCAGATACAAGAAGCCCAACAAACCCAAGAAAGACAAAACAAAACTCATCATACTTCAATTCCTGAAAGCCAGTCAGAACAGGAAAGGCTTTCAAAATACCCACAGAAAAAGGCACAGAGGATAAAGAAGTCAGGCTAAGAATGCCTGTAAGCGTCTTTTCAGGACTATGGATGCCATAAGATGAAATAAAAGCTCCGAAAGGCAAAGATAAAAAAGAAAGACTGTCAAATGAAAACTTTAAGACATCCTTCAAAAGTGAAGGCAAAATAGGCCCCATATGATGGCTCACACCTGTAACCCCCGATTTTGGGAGGCCGAGGTGGGCGGATCATCTGAGGTCAGGAGTTCAAGACCAGCCTGGCCAATATGGTGAAACCCTCTCTCTACTTTAAAAAAAATACAAAATTTAGCCAGGCGTGGTGGTGGCACGTGCCTATAATCCCAGCTACTCAGGAGGCTGAGGCAGGAGAACTGCTTAAACCCGGGAGGCGGAGGCTGCAGCGAGTTGAGATTGCGCCACTGCACTTAAGCCTCTGTGACAGTCTCACTCTGTCTCAAAAAAAAAAAAAAAAAAGAAAGAAAGAAAGAAAGAAAAAGGCAAAATAAAGACAATTTTCAAACAAACAAAAATTAGCAGACTTCACTACAAGACACGTTGAAGGAAGTTCTTAGAGCTAAATGAAATTGGCAGTAAATGGAAACTTGGATCAACACAGAGGAAAGAGAAGTTCCAGAACAGGTAAACACATGGGTGAACAGAAAATACTGTTTTCATTTTTTACTACCTTTAAAATATGCTTGACAACTTTAAACAAAACAAAAACAGTAATGCACTGTGTGGCTAATAATATGCAGAAGACGACACAAATACAAAGGATGGGAAGGAAGTCATGGACATCTACTGTGCATGACTCTTACACTGTAAGTGACATGCAGAAAGACTGTGATAAGTTAAAAACACACTGGAAACATGATAATGACACAAAACAGAACTAACGCACATAGCTAATTAGCCAACAATGGTAACTAAATGGAAACATAACACACCACCAAAAGATGAAGAAAAGAAAGAAATGGGATAAATCGAACCTAAGGAGTCAAAGGACTGACTTCAGCCCAACCACATTAATGATTACAGTAAATGTACACAATAAAAATGCAGCAATTCTCAGAATAAAAAAAGCAGTACCTACTTTAATACATTAAGAAACACACTTTAAAATCAAAGAAAAAGATACATAAAACAAAAACTAATGGAAGATATACCATGTAAATGCTAATTTTGAAAAAGCTGGAATTACTATAACAGTAAAGAACAAAATAGATGTCTCAACAAAGAATATTACCAGGAATAATGAAAAAGGGCATATTCAAGAAAACATAGTAACTGTGAATGTGTATGAACCCAGTAACAGTGCTTCAATAGAGATAAGGAAACAAGTAACAGAGCCAAAAGGAGAACTCATTCAATCTACAGAAGGTATGGGATCTTAAAAGTTTTCTTCAGTAATTCAGAGAACAAATGGTAGAAAACAACTATAAAACTTTTTAAACAAGTTTCCATTAGCTTGACCTAATGAACATTTACAGAACATCCAGACAATAGCAGAACAAACATTATTTTTAAGCTCACATGGAATACTGACCCAGAGAGTTCATATGCTGGGCCATATCACAAGTTTCAATACATATGAAAGGACTGAAATAGAACAGAATATGTTCCGTGACCATAAGATAATTAAATAACAATAAATTACCAGACATTGAGAAAATCCCCAACTATTTAACAAATAACAATGTATTTCCAAATAATCAAGGGATGAAAAGAAGAAATCATGAAGGAATTAGAAAATATTTTTAACTAAATGAAAATGATTTTTTAACTAAATTATTAACTATTGTTAACTAAATCACAATTTGTGTGACATAGGTAAACAATGCTTGGAAACAGGTTTATAGCTCTGAAAGTTTATAAATAGAAAACAATAAGTTATAAAATCAAAGGTCTAACTTCCACCTTACAGAGGAAGAAACAAAAAAATTATATATAAACGATGTAGAATGAAGGAAATAAAGAGCAGAAATTAATAACACAGAAAATGAACAAACAATAAAGATAATCAATGAAACCAAAAACAAGTTCCTTAAAATGATCGATAAAACAGAGACAAACTACCAATATTGGGAGTGAAAGAAGGAATCCTAAAATGGCTAAACATTAATGGAATATTATGAACTTTATGCCATTAATGTTGTCAACTTACATGAAATGAACCAATTCTCTGAAAAACACAAACTTCCAATGAAGAGAAAACCTGATTAACTCTGTACCAAAGAAATTCAATTCACAATCAAGTGCTTTCCCAAAAAGTAATCTCTAGGATCACAGTTCCAAAAGCGAGTCTGTTCAACATTTAAAAAATAAGTAATACCAATTTTACGCCAACTATTTGAAAAATTACAAGAGACAAAGAGACTCCCAACTTATTATAAGGCCAGCTTACCCCTAGATATCAAACTAAAGACATTAAACAAAGGCAATACAGATCCATATCTTTCATGAACATCAGCACAAAACATCCTTAACAAAATGTCAGCATATCAAATACTGTGACATAATAAAAAGACATGCAGTATGACTACTAGGTGAGGTTTATGCCAGTAACACAAGACTGGTGTAACACATATGAAATCAGTCCACATACCATCATATTAATAGATAAAATCCGCATGATCATCCCTACAGATGCAGAAAAGCTTTGGAAAATTCTAACACCCATTCATGATAAAACCTCTCAGCAAACTAAGACTAGAAAGAACTTCCTCACCCTGACAGGGACTCCCTGAACAAGCTGCAGCTACCATTATCCACCAAGGCAGAATGCTTTTGCTCCGAGACTGTCAACAGGACACATCACCAAAGAGGACAAGCAGATGGCAAACAAGCACACGAAACAATGTTCAACACAACCGGCCATCACAGAAACGCAAACTGAAACCACAATAGGGTATCACTGCACACATCCGTCAGAAAGACTACAATAAAAACTGGTGACAACACTGAAGGCGGCAAGGACACAGAGAAACCAGGTCACTCATCCGGTGCTGGTGAGGACAGGCAATGGCACAGCCACTCTGGAAAACTGTTTGGCAGCTCCTTTGAAAGCCACACTGTGTGATCCAGGAACTGCCGCATGCACACACACCCCAGCCCCATCCTCAGATGAGGAGGTGCTGCTCCCTGACATATGACTTCACGATGTAATAGCTGCCTGGTTGACTCTACCCACCACCAAGCAGGTAAAAGATAGCTGTCAACAGCCCAGCCTCTCCAATCTGCTCATCTGTTGGTCCAGTAGAACCTACCTTCCTTCATTCACTAACCATGAAAAAATGTAAGTTGTAATAACTCTAAACATATAAATTATGCATAGTAACCTAGAGAATTTAAGTAAACAATCACAGAACACTGAAAATTAAAAACCCATGAGAACAAATCATCTGAGTAGCACCTCACTGCCTGGCTTTGACTGAGAAGCCTGACCCAGAGAAGCAGCTTGGACGATTTTCAAACAGAGCTCCTGACGTGAAGGCTAATGAAGCCCATGTGATGTACAGAGAGAAAATAGAAGAAAGAAAAACACTTTTATGTGCCTAAGTAGGTGAAAATTTAAAACAGGATATTCATTTGTGAGTATCTGGTTTCACTGATTTGAAAGATTCTACACACACGAGCACGTATGTACTTTTTAATTGGCAAACACCAATACAAAATCACAAAGGAGAGGAGCAAACAGCCAAATAAGAAATAAAAATTTCTGGCTGGGTGTGATGGCTCAAACCTGTAATCCCAGCACTTTGAAAGACCAAGGTGAGAGGACTGCTTGAGGCCAGGAGTTCAAGACCAGCCTGGGCAACATAGCAAGACCCCCATCTCTACAAAAAAAAAAACTAAGAACTGACTGGGCGTGGTGGTGTGCACCTGTACTCCCATCTACTCAGGAGGCTGTGGAGAGAGCATCACTTGAGCCCAGGAGTTTGTGGCTGCAGTGAGCTATGATCATGTTACTGTATTTCAGTCTGGGCAACACAGTGACAACCTGTCACATAAAAAATAAAATAAATTGAAAAAGAAAAAAGACATTAAGAGGAGGCAGCGGAAGAGGGGGAGGGGGGCAAGGAGAGGAAGGAGGGGGAGGAAGGTGAGCAGAAGGAGAAAGAAAACCAAAGTGTCAAGGAAAATTCACAATTACCTAAAACTGATTATGTGCTAAGACATCACAGAAATTATTTTGGCATAATTCTTCAATGAACCTTCATGAGGAATAAAGAAATTATAAAACAAATTCTCAATGCATTAAATAAATTAGCTGGTATAAACAGAAATATGCGTGAAACCTAGAAACTACCACTAAAGATAAAGGATGGAGTAGTCTTGATGCTGCTCACCCCCAGAGCCGGCAGCCGTTGCGTGCAGCTCACTGCCACCTTCAGCTTCCAGTCAGTTTCACCATCTAGTTGATCAGTTCGAATAAAACACGAACCTTGGAAGTAGAAAATAAAAATTTACCACTCTTGAATTGTGTTACAGAAGGTTTCTCCTGAGCTACAAGTGCCATCAAAGAGTAATTCCAGGGCACAGTAGGACAAATAAATAACAACCTAGATATTTCCAGGAACAAAAATCCTTAAAAACCTTTATTTTACACAATGTTCCTTGATTCACAAAACAAGTTTCGTGAAAAGATGTAGGCCATTACATTCTTTTAAATCACTCATTTCCTATTTGCTGCTCTTGCCTATTAGGTTTAACATTAATCAGTCTTCTATTTTAGAAAAACTGCATTGATCATTTCTACTTTCAATGTATGTTCTGATAATAACAAAATAACAAACACACAAAAATATCCAAGAGTGTATGGTATTATCTTGCTAATAAAATATCAGATTTACCATCATAAAAAATGTTCAATCATAAAAGCACAACTACAAAGCTAAGACCAAGGTAAATGTTACCATATGCCCACAGGCCTATCCAGTTTCAAACGTGCTAAGATATTCTATTAAGAAAATCCATTACTCTTTGGCCATGCTATCATCCCACTTCTCAAAGACTATTCTAACGATGCAATAGCAAAAGCACAAAATGACATACACACAAGACCGCTCCCTGCAGCATTATTTATAGTAACAGAAGACTGTTGTGAAACAAAGGGGAACAAACAGAGGACTAGCTGAATAAAACAGAGCTCATACGGCAATAGAGAGAGAGAAGAAAGTAAAGCAAACAAGATGACCTCAATACACTGACATGGAAAGATCTCTAGGATACAGACTGTGAAATGAAGAAAGCAAGGTGCTGGACATTATATATAGAAAAATACATTATAGTTAACAACAAGGGAGGGAGGAGAGAGAATCTGTGTATGTCCATACATATCTCTATGCATGTATAACTGTATACATGCATGTTCATCTGTGTGTGGATATTATCTATGTGTGTATCTGTGTGTGTGCATGTATATGTGAGTGTGCATGCATGGCTAACGTGTGTGTGCAAGCATATGTGTGTGCACACATGCATGTGTATATATGTATTTGTGTGTGCTTGCGTGTATGTTTGTGTACATGGGTATCTGTGTATAATATGCAAGTATAACTGTGAACAAGCCCCTGAGGATCTGTGTGTTTCTGTGTGTGTGCATATTGGTGTGTGAACATATCTGTGCACACACGTGTACCTATGTACACATGCAAGCATATCTGTGTGAGGGATGTGAGGGCATGCAAATCTGTGTTTCGATGTGTGCTCCTCTATCTGTGAGTGTATTTGTATGCATGCAAATGCTTCTGTGTGTGTGCACATATATCTGTGTGTGCATGTATGTGTATATAATACCTATAGAGGGAGGAAGGGAACAGGAATAGATGCTAAGACTTCTGAATATATCTTATACTGTTCACTTTAAAATCAGATACATTTTATATAATTAAAAAGCCAAATTACAGCAAACTTTTAAAAATCTCTTAAAACATAAAAAGCAGCGTATAAAACATAATTCACAGTTTAATCACAGTGAGAATTCATCCAGGTGTCTTCTGAGGTTTCAGAATTTTTTTTTTTTTTTTTTTTTTTTTTTGGGACAGAGTCTAGCTCTGTCGCCAGGCTGGAGTGCAGTGGCGCAATCTCGGCTCACTGCAACCTCCACTTGCTGGGTTCAAGCGATTCTCCTGCCTCAGCCTTCCGAGTAGCTGGGACTACAGGTGCGTGCCACTACGGCCAGCTAATTTTTTGTATTTTTAGTAGAGACGGGTTTTCACCATGTTGGCCAGGATGGTCTCGATCTCTTGACCTCGTGATCCACCTGCCACAGCCTCCCAAAGTGCTGGGATTACAGGCGTGAGTCACCACGCCTGGCCTGGTGGAGAACGTTATACTGGGAAGACCGGTTGATAGCACCTGTATCTATTCATCACTAAAAGACAGACATGCAGACATCTGCCTACAGTTACAAACAGGACTACACAGAAGCACTGCTGTAGTATTCTTTCACCAAAAAAATGAAAAGCTAAAAGAAAACTGAAAATGAGTATGGTCAACCCTTTAGATCCACCTACCAGTTAACAAAAATACAAGAAATAAAGAAATATATTAATTAATAATATAGTTGTTTTGTGTATGCACTCACACAAATCTAGAATATCAGATATTCTCTATGTCCAATAACCCTGTTTTTTCAACAAATAAAAAAACAAAGAAAGACAAGGAATTGTTGTAGATGAAAACAGATTTGAGAGATACCTGTAACAAGTGCAAGAGAAGGGCCCTCGCATCCTGACTAGAACAGATCAACTGTAAGAAGAGGTGTGTGAGACAATCAGAAACCGGGAGACTCACAAAGTGTTAATCTAAGAAATCCTTGTTCAATAGTTTATGGTATGATAATGGAATTGTGGTTGTAATTTGTAAATGCTGAATTTATTAATGCAATCAAATTATACATAGGATTTTATCCAAATGAGACATACGGATGAAACAAGACTGGTTATTTAAAGAGAAGTTTTCCAGGGGACAATGGTGATGCAGCAGTCCATTATACTATGGCTTCATGCAGTGAAAATTCCTATAATAAAGTTTAAGATCCAATTTAAAAAATAGAAAATGAATAAAACCTTTAAGGGCATTTTATTTCCAGAAGGATAGAGCAGATGTACTCTTTCCTATTCTTCCTAAATAAAGCAAAAAAATGCTGAACATTAAATTTTTTAAAATGATGATGATTCTAGAAAAGGAGGAAAAGTGCAGTCCAGCTCAAGTCCTCGGGTACCAAGGAAGGACAGTGGTGATCTCCTGTTTTCATCCTGCCCTTTTTATCTCAGACTAGCAACTGAAGAACCTGGCCACCCACAAATGCTAACAGGTCTCTACTTCATGACTATCATAGTCCCATGAAGATTTTCTTTAAAGATACAGGCAAGATTCTTCTAAAATGTGTATAGAAAGGCAAAATTGTTTAAAAGAGCTAAAAGTTGTTTAGAAGAGCTAAAAAAAAGTGGGGGGGGGTGGGAGGAAGAAAAACTGGGAGAAATCAGCCCACCAGATTATAAGACTTACCAGATAGCTGCAGTAACCAAGATTGTTTGATACTGGAGAAGGAACAGAAACCCAGATCAATGGAACAAAATAAAGAAGCCAGAGAGAGTCTCCCCAACATACAAGTATGGCAACTAATTTTGAGGCATTCACAAAAGTACTTTATGGAGAAGAGAATCTTCACTATAAATGATGCTAGAGCATTTGGATATACATAGCCCAACAACCCCAAAGCCTTGACCTAAACCTTACATCGTATACAGTAATTAACTCAAAATAGATCACAGATCTCAACGTAAAACTTTTCGGACAAAAAAAAAAAAACCACCACAAGAAGAAATCCCCAGGGCATATGGCTAGAAGATGAGTTCCTAAACAGGACATCAAACGCATAACTCATTAAAAAAAAATCAATTGGACTTTGATAAAATTAAATACTTTGAATATGTAAAGATCTTTGCAGAAGATGAAAAGACAAACTACAAACTAGTAGAAAATATTTGTAAGCTGCGTATCTGACCAAAGGACGCCTATGTAGAATACATAAAGAACTCTCAACATCAATAATTTTTAAAAAAATCCAATTAGAAAATGGGCCAAAGACATGAAGAGACACTTTCCTAGAGTCCTGAGGATGGCAAACATGCAGCAAGAACGTGCTCAATGTCACAGCCACAACGAAGCGGCACGTGCAAACCACAAGGAAGCACCGCTACACATACCACCAAACATCGGCCAGACGTGGCAAAACTAGATGTCCCAGGCATTGCTGGTGGGAATGTAAAACAAAAACGTAACCCTGGAAAAGGGTTAGTCAGTCTTAAAATAAGCATATAATTACCATAAAAACCCGCAACCCCACTCCTGGACATCGATCTGGAGAAATAAAAACTTACGTCTACAAAAAAGCTGTACATAATTGTTCAAAGCAGTTTTATTTATAACAAAAACCTGTAAACAACAAAAAACTCCAACCAACAATGATGAATGGTTTAAAACATGCTGTGGTACATCCATCCATGAAATCCTAGTTAGCAGCAAAAAAGGAACAAACTGTTGACTTATATAACAACTTGGATGGATCTCAAGGGTGTTGTGCTACATAGAAAAAGAGTCTCCAAGCCAGGTGCAGTGGCTCATGCCTGTAATCACAGCACTTTGGGAAGCCAAGGCAGATCACGAGGTCAGGAGCTCGAGACCAGCCTGAACCAGCCTGATGAAACCCCGTCTCTACTAAAAATATAAAAATTAGCCGGGTGTGGGGGCATGCACCTGTAATCCCAGCTACTCAGGAGGCTGAGGCAGGAGAATCGCTTGAACCCAGGAGGTGGAAGTTGCAGTAAGCTGAGATCGCGCCATAGCCCTCCAGCCTGGGTGACAGAGTGAGACTCTGTCTCAAAAAAAAAAAAGAGTCTCTGAAGGTCATGAATGGTTTATTTCATTTATATAACATTCCAGAAATGACAAATGTATAGAAATGGAGAACAAATTCATGGTTACCCAGGGTGAAGGTTGCTGGAAGCAGAGGGATGGCTGAGCCCACAGGGCTAGTGTGAGGGAGATCCTCAGGGTGGTGCAACAGTTCTGCACCTTGACTGCATTGGTGGTGACAGGAACCCACACCCAAGATGAAATAACACAGCCTTACGTGCACACACTGTACCAGTGTCAACATCCTGGTCTGATATTCTACTACAGGTAAGTTGTCAATCACTGGAGGAATCTGGGTGAAGGGGACACACAGGGTCTCCCTGTACTATCTCTGCAACTTCCCAGGAGTCATTAATTATTTCAATGTAAAACATATTTTTTAAAAAGGTGTTGTTCACTCTAGGAGTAAGTTTTAAATGGCAAATTAAAGCTCTCAATTTAGGTTGCTAATACAACTACAATCTATCTTTCCTATTAATATGTATCTATATAACTCAATTATACTGGTATAAAAATATT